TCAGTATATGTGACACATGAAACTCACTTTTAATGTATTTCAATGGACCTCTGTGTTGTCAACACCTCTATGTTATCAACCAAATGCCCCAAACCCATTTGGTTGATAACATAGAAGTTTCACTGTAATTCAATACAAACGCGTGTTTTGCGTCCCATAACTCGACGCGTCAAACAATTACCACAACAACCTATGAGTGCTGTAAGTGTTATATAAATCATGTTTAAATTGGCACAGTTTACAATGATAAATTGAATAATAATACAGTTTAATAGTTCTATGGCTAATGTATTTTATTACGGCTAATAAAGTTAATGTTTCATGTACAAGTATCGGACAATAAACTGGACACTTGCTTAACAATTAACAACAGGTTTTTTTTTTGGCAAAAGAGAGATAAAAATAACCTGGAAGAGTGGGAATAGTCTGTTATTTGACTGAAAACATCACCATGTATTAGTGGAAATGTATGTTTGTTTGCATGTACTGTTTTATATTTACGACAAAATAAATAATAAAGGTACAAGTAATTATTGTTTATAAAAAATTAATTAAGAATAATTCTCAATAATAAAACAGTTAGTTTTATGTAATAATTATGCCTTACATTTTGTGAAGCTAATTAAAGTAATTAAACAAACATTAATTTGATTTACACATTAGAAATTCATAGAAAAATAAATTGTGTTTAGATTTAAGTATATTCAGCACTGAATTGAATTCCTTATGAGTTGTGACAACAGTCTTATCGATAGACCACTCGTTATGTTTGGCCAACACTTCCCGACACTCAGGCCTTTGATTATAGTCAGGACTCGACTGCATTGACTGCAAAGTCTGGTATAAATTATCATAACATTTATTAAACTCGGATTTAATTGCTTGAAACGATTGCGAACTATAAAATACGTATAAAATATGAATATAACAACAATTAGAAAAACATTGATAAAAACACCTACTTTTGTGGATCAATACTATAGATCTTTTCGGCGATTAGTGCGAGACTAAAAATATCTATTTTGTGGTTATATTGCTTACGATAAAACACTTCGGGCGATATGTATCTCAAAGTGCCCACACCTAACGTATGATCGTATCGGCTCGCAGTTTGTCTGTCGACGTCGTGATCGGTGGCCAAACCAAAGTCACACAGTTTTACGCAACGATTGGACTTAAGGTTGCGTTCAATTAATATGTTTTCCGGTTTGAGGTCCCGATGGATGACTCGCGGAATCAATTCATGCAAATATTGCACACATTGTAAGAGCTCTTTGAATATTTCGCACGAAATAAAATATTCAAACACACTATTCATGTGGTCTTCCGGTTGTCTCTCAAAAACAATGGCTTTGTCTGCGAGAAGTGAACGAAGACTTTGAGAGCAATACTCCATTTGAATGTATAGATGATTGCACTCAAGCCATGAGTTGTAATATTTGACCACAAAATCTGAGTCCAGTTTTGCTAAACTTTTTACTTCTTTCAAAATTCTTTGTTTTTTGTCTTCATTAAAACCTATGCAAATATTTTAAATAAAATATTTGTTAGAATAACTTATATAATGAGTGAAAAAAGTAATGGTATTTACCACAAAATTGTACTTTTTTGACGGCATATATCTTATCATCCAATCTATGCTTTACTTTAAACTCTGTCCCAAAACCACCCGAACCTATGGTTGAGATCTCTATGAATTGTTGCTTATAATTACTATCACTGGACTTATCATTTGTGTTATTATCAGATTCATCGAGGTTTATATCATTTTTGTTGCCACTTGTTATGTTAAAATAAATTGTTTTATAAGTAATTTGATGTTCATTGGCATAAACATCAACAAAATTATCATAATTTGTTTCAAACAATTCGTGTTGTTTTGATATTTTGTAAATTTTATCATTCATTAAAACATATATAAAATCTAAATTATAAATAAATGAATTAATTTGTTGTAATTCTTGGAAACAATATTCACATAATATTTGTTTCGGACTTTTTTCAATTAATTCATTATTATTTTTTAAATATTTGCCACAAAAGTAAACGAAACCATTGGATGTCAGGAAATACGTGCCATAAATACTACCAGTGATTGCTTTCACACCAGTTATGGTTGTTATCAATCGCGGATCAAATACTTTATCATCACTTATATTGTGTCCCAAATGATGGCCACTATTGTCATCCCAACTGAACACCAGTCCATCGGTTGTGATGGCAAATGAGGAGCGATAATAACAATAAACAGATTGTATATTATAAATATTAAAATTGAGCTCGTGTTTAGTCAGCGAAAACCTCCATGTTAAAGTATAACCGCAACCGATTTGGCCGTACCTATTGGGCCCCCAGGCGTACACCCGGCCATTGCTGGTGAGGGCCAACACATGGTTATAACCGCATGTAATTTGCGCAACAGGTGTATCGTTAAGGTATGATATAATTCCCGGTTTGGGTAAATCAATCTTTTGGTTAAATGGTGTGGCGATTCTGAATGATCCAAAAACGGGACCCAATTGTCCCCAATAATTATTCCCGAACCCGTAGACCACGTTCTGGTCATTCACTGCTAACACAAAATCACATCCATTGACAAAGTATTGTATGTTTTGTTGTCATAATTCTGGTATCAGTTCGGGTGATAGGATAGGGCTGTTGTGTCCCAAACCCAGACATCCGTTGCTATTATCACCAAAAACATAGACCAAATCATCGCTGGTTATGAATAACACATTAACACAGTTATCGAGATCACGAAAAACGTGTAGTTTTGTGATGTTTTTTCTAATATTTGTGGGAATTTCTGGCTTAGGTATTTAAAATAGCCACATTTATTGAAATATTAAAAATATTAAATAATATCTTTATGTATGTTTTACACGCCTTTTATTAAAGTTTTAAAATTTAAATAAAAATTTAATTAAACATATGATTTAAAATAATAAGTTATTATTAATAACACAATAAATTAAATATAAAATTAAAATTATATGTAAAGTATATTGATGGACTTTAATTGTATCATGTGTTTTGTTGATAAATTAAACAAATTAAAATAATTTGCCATAATAAACCAATGTGATTATAATTTAATTTTAAGTAATTAATAGCTCTTATAATCTTGGAAAAAGTGCTGATACTAAATATGAAGCTGGTAAGATAGAAATAAATGATGAATTGTCAAAATCAATTATTACACTTTATTTATTAAAAACTTACACTAAAATTGTTTATTATTGTATTTAATTAAAGTGTTTGCGCCACTTCATTGAACTGCTTATGATTAGATGATTAAATTAATAATTTAGTAACACTTGGATGGGGCTGTACATCAAATGATCAATCATATTATTCGTGAATTTCATATAATATCTATCATCATATGTTATGCATTGATTTAAATACATTGTCATAAATTGATTATTTAAAACTATACTGTTTTCATGAAAAGCCAATTTATAATGTTGCTTTTTGTAATAGCTTTTCAATCTAAAAATAATATATCTTTAGTCATATTCCAGTAAAAAGTAAAGTTATATTACAATTGTATGTAATCTTTATATTATTATTAAGTACTAGCCAATTTATAATGTTGCTTTTTGTAATAGCTTTTCAATCTAAAAATAATATATCTTTAGTCATATTCCAGTAAAAAGTAAAGTTATATTACAATTGTATGTAATCTTTATATTATTATTAAGTACAGAATATCACGAAGAATCTTATGGAAATGTTTTACATTAAAATAAATTAATTTAGTTAAACCAATAATATAATATAAAGATATCCTGTCTGTCATTATTTAAATATTATTTAGTAAATAAATTAATATTCGATTTAAAGCAAAATATATAAAATTATAAATAAACTTGCTGTAAACATAATATATTTTGTAAATATAACACAATTGACAATTGATTTTGTTTTAGATTAGCAACTTATTAGATTTAAATCTATTTAAGATATTATTAAATTCTATCTTATTTTTGGTCATTATATAAAATTAGCCTGAAAATAACAGTTATTTTAACTATCAGTTATCATGTTAATAAATAAACTAACGTTAACAACTTAACAACAACCTATGTTTATAAATTTATTGAATAATTTGAATGTTAAAACACTTTAATTATTAATTATGATGATATCTCTAATATGAACATGTGTAAATAGCCAACTTTGCAATACAAATATGTGCCTGGTGTATATGATATGGATGAGCCAAGATTTTCCATAAAGAGAAAACACTGCCATTTTATCCCCGGAAATCGGGTCGTCATTTGTTCTTTAATATGATTGGCCGCAGACGTCATATTGTCTTTACTTGTAATGGCCTCAAACACCACGCTCTTCACCGCCGATAACTTGGACACATGCAGGTCAGTCTTAATAATGACCAATTCTCGCGCAATCTTATTGCTAACAATTCTCTCTTGGATTGTCTTATAATCCACCTAGGTATAATAATAAATAAAATAAATAAATGGTGGCTATAGTTTATAAAATAAGACATTTGTGATTAATGTTTAAACAAATATATACCCAAAATATTGCCTTGATAAAAATTTACTTTAATTAGAGATACGAAATCCTTTCATATTAACACTGGGCATCATTTTGTAGAAAAAATTAACAAATAAAAATATACATTTGTGGTCAAAACTAACAATAGAACTCTGAAGATTGAATTCACCTACTCACACGGATATCGAGATATTTGTAATTATTTTAGATACATAGGTTTGTCCAAAAAAACGTATATTTTCAAATTCACAATATGCATTTTTATATACATGTAGATTAAATATTACCCATTGAGTGTTGAGCAAAACTAATGTAATAGAAGCAAATTTCACTTCCATATAGCCATTCCCAGTTTGTGTAAAGCACTTTCTGCATGTGCCACCGTAGTTTGCCATACAGTGCCACATCGGGCCAAACTCCATGTTCATCAGATCAACCACATTTTTGCAAAATGTATAAAAACTATTCTGCTCGGTTAACTGTTGCCTTATTATTGACATCGTTTTTGCAGTCATATCTGCGCTCATAAAATTAAATACAAACTCAGGCGCTGAGAAGTGTTGTCTACACTCAATAATTAATTGTTTATCAGAGAGAATAACATTCGATGATGATGGTAATGCTGCTGATTGACCTGCTGCTGCATCTGTATCATTGTATATAATGGCGAGTTTTAATGCCTCGATCTCTGCCCGCAACAATTCCACGCAGTCGTGTCCCAATGTCATCATGTTATGACATTTATCACACTTGGAAACATTGTAGCCACAGTTGTTTGTGTGCCGTTGCAAATCGTCGAGTTTGACTAATACATGGCAACCCTTATTCCAATTATCGCATTGTATCCTAAAACGGCCCAATGTGTTCACCATTACTCTGAAATATTATAGACAATTGATTGTTGCAATAATTTGAGCGAAGCAATATTTTTAAATTTTTAATCATTGTTTTACATTTAGAATAAAAATATTAGTTTATGAGATTCCTACTTAAGACAACCATTATCCTTTATTAATATGTTAATGTTTAATTAAATTAAAATTAATTGCTACTCATTTAAGATAATTCCATTGCATTGTTAAATTTAAATTTAGTTTATTAAAACTAAAATTTTGTTTGTTGATTATACTTTTAGTAGTAATACTTACTCTGTTTTAATTTATAATATGTAAATAATTATTATATAATTAAACAAACCTTGGTGCTCGGGACAACTGAGCCGCAGTCAATGGCTTTCTATCATAAGGACAGGTAGTGTTTGTTTTAAGCCATTCATTAATACAGTCGTCGCAAAAGGTCTGCAGACAACAGGGGGCTGTCATCGGACAGCAGAATATATCCTGACATATACTACACGTGTATTCGTCCCGATCGTCGGACGACAGCTCCGGGAACCGATCGGTACTATAGCCCGGCATTTACCAAAGTAATATATTTTGAACCTTACCTTATAAACAATGATTTACTTGGGTTTTTTAATTATACTGTAAAGACATATATTTCCACCAATAAATATTTATCAGTGTATCCATGCATTCGTTGTAATATTTCTATTTGTTTACTGCATTGAAATACATTTAATCAAACATTTTAATTACTTATTATCAATTAAAACTGCATAATATAAAATTTAATGTAATTCGTTAATTTTGTAGTTATAAATATTTAAATACATCTATAATTATTATGTAAAAATGTTATAAATACTACATATATATATTTTGTATATTATATAGAAATATTAAATATGTTAACATTGCCCTAAATATACAAATAATGCAGTTATTATTTTATATTGTTAAAATACGTTTCAATTAATTTAAATAATTACAACGGGGTAAGAAATAATTAATGCAATTAATAAATTTATATAATAGTTCACACATTTTTACAAAAATTAAATTTCAATATATTTAATAATTAAAATTATTAATAAATGAAAAATATTGGAAACAGGAATCTTTTATAAAGCATTTCATAACAATAAACAACAGTACATGTAATATTCATAACAATATAATCATTGCTCTTATAATGCCTGTAATAAACGACCCACTCCATTTTATTATGCATAGTATAAAGTATACATAATATAATAATGATGTGAAAGCCGTGTGTCCACCGAGTTTTCTGAGCGGCCGGCTCTGCCTTTCACTCGTTGATTGGCGGCCGCCGCTCATCGACTCGCTAGCCATACAGCTCTCGGTCGGCGGTCGTGCCGAACCCCATCCACGGCTATAATAAATAATAATTAATTAATAAATTAAATAAATAAAATAAATAATTAAAATATACTTACATTAATGTTAACACACAAACAACACATACAAACACAAAGTGAGAAATGATAAGGAAAGGAAAAATGAAAAGTTATGATAAGAATGAATGTTAGAAATGAAAAGATAAGAGTAAAAGGAAATGAAAGATAAAAGTATAGATTAATAGAAAGAAGTGAAAAGTTATAGATAAGAGAAAAACTGAAAAGTTATAGATAAGGAGAAAAGGAGTGAAAATGCAAAGTAAGTGAAAAGTTTAAAGAGAAAAGATAGAGAAGAGATAAATGAATGAAATAAATAAATGAAAGTAAATGAAAAAATGAATTAATTAAATAAAGTACACAATAAATAAATAATAATTAAAACACAATACTTACATGTAAAACTATATACAAGGGAAACAAATACAACACAAACAAATAAGAATGAGAAATGAACTGTAAAGGGAGACAAACACAATGATAAGATAGTGAATAGAAAAGTAAAAGTTAATGAATAGAAATGATAATGAGTGGAAAAGAAATGAAAAATAAAGTGCAAAATAAACAGAAAGTACCTAAAATAAAGACAAAAAACACATGATTAGACAAAAACATATACATAAAGAGACACAAACAGGACACACAAACAGATAAAAAATAAATGTTAAAAACTTTAAAATATTGTAGAGTTGACATAAACTTGTCGTGACTGAAGGCACATCCTGTGCGGATGTGCTAAAGTCTCAATCCTGGCAGGGTATAAATACCGCTGCCTATTACTGTATGAATTTAATTGAATACTTGGGTTG